TTTATTTTATTTAATTTTTTATTTTATTTTTTTTTTTGCAACGCTTTGCTTTATCTTTCAAAATGAGCTAAATAGAGAATTAATTAAATAAAGTAATTTTCGTGCCGCAAGTTAAGCTTACTTCGACTATCGCAAAGTATCGACAAACGACCATCTCTATTCGACTCACTTAATTTGCCCGACAGCAGCTCAAGAGCAGAATCATGTAGTTGCCTGCCTCATTCCCAACACGTTCCACATCTGTCGCTCTCTCTCTCTCTCTGTCGCTCTCCCACCCACATCCCCTGCCAATTTGGGCGAAAATAATTGCTGGCATTCGAATCAGATTTTAACGAAGCGAATCAGAATCCAATTGGAAATGTGAGCTGGCATACAAAACTCGTTATAGCCATTGAAATTTCCATTATAGATTATTGCAGATGCATTTTATGCGACACAGGAAGCATCTATATATGTATGTGTGTGTGTGTGTGTGGGTGTGTGTTTATGTGTGTGTGAGTGCACAAATTGTTATGCATTGAATAGTTGGCATTGATGGAACATATTATTGCAGTTTATGGCTAAATTAGTAACGAAATTGAAATATTGTATAGTTAAAGTTAATTTCAATGTTAAACAAACCGCAACCCACAAAAGGCAAACAATGATAAGCCCAACAACAACAGCGACTACAACAACGCCAAGAACAACAACTATAAAGCTGGCCAACAGCAGATGGCCAACGACATTTCAACTTTAAACGAAGCGGAAATGCGAGCCCACAACGGCATCATTAATCATGACTAGCAACGGCAAACCAAACTTGTAAAGGACTCGCTCCACCCAGCCCGGTCACGCCTACTATTCCAATACGACTGCCCCTTTTTTTGTCTCTCTCTTTCTTGTTCTTGTTATTCTTTTTCTTGTTTTTTTTTTATTACTCTTTTTTTTTGTGTTGGCTCAGTTCAAGTCCAATTCGCTTTCAGTTTCGGTTACATTGTGTTGACTTTACTTAACTCGCCAGCTCCTGGACGAATGTGACAGGAGAGTTTATGGGTTTCGTGCAATGCTTGAAAGTCTGTCTGTGTGAAGGGGAAGCGCATTGAGCTTTCGACTTGGAGGATATGGCCAGGCGGAAATAACTGTAACTGCTGCAGCTGCATTGAGCAAACTTTAGCTGCTATCGCCTGCTTGATCTCCCCTCATTCAAATATTTTTCATTGAATTCAACTGTTCAGTTAATGTTAACGAGTATTGGGCAGTTGGTCACGCCCGTCTGCACTGCTCCCACTTGTTTTGATATACTTTTTACTGTTTATTTATGCTTTTTAAGCCATCTCTTTTCATCCATGCTCTAACTTATTACAGATGAGCTATAGTTTGCTTTTGAAATGGCTTAAATAGTTTATTTACTCTGTAATCATATAATATATTAAATATATAGGAATGTAGCCTAGGCAACAATATTTGAATATAATAAAACATATTTTTGAAGATAAATTAAAGAAAAAAAATTTCGTTGAAACTACTTTCAACGCCGCCTATTTTCTTTACTTTTTCTGATATTAAGTATACGACTTGTGTGTTTTTTTAATTTATAACGATTTAACAATTCAATATAATTTAATTTTGCTTTTATTAACAAATTTATTAACACTTCTAAGGCTTAAATCATAAATTTGAGTAGTATAAAAACTCTTTTAATATATTTTTTTTAATATTTATTATTCACTTCTAATTCAAAGAATATAGTCTTAGCATGCTCGAAGACAAAATTTGAGCAATAAAAGAATTTAAATAAATTTCACAAAAATGTATTTCAATTTTCTCAATTTAGCAACAATTTAGCTAAGCCCCTGATTTTTCCAAATTTTTCTCAAAACTACTTAAACAGCAGTGTAATTGAAAGTCGCCTCAGCTCCAGCACGTATTTTTGTTGTTGTTTTTCTTGCAGTTGTGCAGAGTATTAAATTTTAATCCAGCATAAAGGACGAGGTACCACAAAAGCTACAAAACAGTCGGGTTAATAGCACTCTGTGTATGTGTGTGTGTGTGTGTGTGTGAGTGTGCCAAAAAACGAAACAGAAAGTTGACCCAAACTTTAGTGCGGTCCGCACACTGGCGAACAAAAATTTTCGACGCTGTGGCAACAACAGGAAAAACGAAAAACGTGAAATGAAAAACGTAAAATGAAAATGGCAAAGTTTTCCCACTATGCGCCAAAAGCCAAAAAGTGTTTGCGTTGTTTTCTGGCCGCGTGGCAAGTTAATTCGATGGCGTGTGCCATGTGCAACATCAAATGACAACAAATAACGATGGCAGCAACAGCGAGAGAGTGTGTGTGTGTACATGTGTGTGTATGTGTGTGTGTTCAGCCATTAGGCTGCTGCACTCATGGATACTAAAAGTCGGTCTAAACTAATATGTGTCTCTGTGTGTGTGTGTGTTTGACTGACTCTCCGTATGTATGAGTGTGTGTGTGTGTTTGTTTCTTCTAGCTGCTGTCACATTGCATATGCTGCGCACAAGAAAAAAAAAAAAAAAAAAAAAAGAAGAAAGAGAAAGAAAGAGAGAAAGTCTGTTTTAGCACTTTGTACTGGCTGCTGTTGTTGTTGCCAATTTTGTGGCTCTAGCTAGCTATTCCAGCTATTTGCTGTTAAAGTTGTCAAGTACTTCACGTGGCTAACAATAAAACTGCAAAGTGCCAAAAGTTTGTGGTGCTACAGTTCAAAAGCAACTTGCAACTTGGACTTGACTTTGCAAGCGATGGCTTAGATGTTGCAAGACGTGTGCCAGCTGACTAATGAACTTGATTAGCTGGCAATTAAGCATAGCGCTTAGTGTTCGTTTATTTTGTTGAGCAATCAAAAGGGTTTTGAAAGTTTGCTTAGCTGCAACCGAGAATGAAACGCTGAAAATGTATACAAAGTCTGTAGCATACTTTCAGGGGGTGCAAATAATTTGGAGGTTTATGAGCCACTGGCTGGTATTTGCCGCCAGATTCTTATTAATGCGCGGTTATTGAACTTGTTTGGCTGGTAAACAGCTTTTTAAGCGTTTTAAATTTCGCTATGTACACAGAACTTGCCAAGTGTAATCTTTTATGTTTAGCAATAAGCTGCCAAAGTTTGCTTAAGTTTCAATGCAAATCACGTTAAATTTTGTTGCATACTTTCGGGTGGCGCATGAAAATGCCGGCAGCTAAATGGCAAATGCTTGGTGACTGCAGAATTTTACTTGCTTAAGTGACATCAAATACATGAGTGCCTACGAAAATAGCTTAGAAATACATTATATTATATATCTAATATATATTAGCTTTTGAAAGGGGAAATATGCGATGTAAATCACAAAAGTAAGACTTGAGCAGAGTAGACTAACATTTTGGGTGCCTATAAAGTCATTGAGAGCTCTAAAAACTAAGCTTGTTTAGCTCCCACATATCCGAAAATATCTTGTTAAATAATAGTTTAATGCTTTTATCATGGATAAGCAAGTCTTAAATACATCTTGTAAATCGAACAAAGAAAGCAGCTCGAGTTTATGGTTCGCACGCGTTAAACTTTTTAGTGCATACTTTCAGGCGGCGCCATAAAATCTCGCTGTCTCACACAAACTGTTGCTGTGCGCAGAAAACCGTTTTATGGCTAGAGAAGTGCAGCTGCAAACGCGTCTCACCTGCCGCAGCAGAGCAGACACATAATTATCAGCTGATGGCCTCATTAAAGTCAGCAAGCCGAGGTGGACAGGGACTCGCAGCTCTCAGTTGTTATCTATTTCGCTTATCGCCTTTGTTGTCGCGCTGCCTGACGGAATCAATCACGGTGAAGCGGTGCCCTTGTGGCCGCAGGACATTCTTAACAAGCTTAACAACTATAAATGCGATCACTTACAACTCGTAATCAATGACTAACAAGCAGCATAGGCAAGGGCAGCGGCAAAGGCAACGGCCAACAACAAAAGACGTCCAAAAACTTTGGTTTATATTTCGCTCAAACAGTCTATGCAGCAAGTTGTTAGCCCTGAAGCCCATAAAAAAAAAACTTTTGCCATTACTTCGCCAACAGCTGCGATGCCACTTCCCTCTTGCTATTATATATCCTCTGGCCACAAAAAAACTTGGCCCAATCCCGCCGCCAGCTCAAATGAAACTCAATGAAACTCATTGTGTATCGAGAGAGAGCGAGAGCGAGAGAGAAAGGAATAGACAGTGAAAAACAGTGGAATGGGCGACAAAGAAAACATCTCGTGTATTATTGCCAATATTGATTGATGTCCGGCCATTCAGGTCTACTGCTCGGCCAGCAGACCCTTGACCACTTTGACCAGCATATCGAGGCCCTGCCGATTGTTCGCCTCGTAGTAGGGCAGCGCCTCCATGCGCTTTATCCATGCAGTTAGCTGGGGATACTTGGCCTCGTCGATGGGCGCAAAGGCCGCCGCTGTGCTCACCGTTGCCACACTGCACAGGTCCGCAATGGTCAGCTTATCGCCGGCCAGATAGGCGCCTGCAGCCAGGCAGTGCTCCAGTCCGTCGTACGCCTTCTGCATGTAGCTTATGCGATCTTCGGGTATCTGCTTAGCGCCAAAGTAAATCACAGGCTCCACAATGAAGCGCACACGTGGAAACAGGTGTCCGCAGTCGTAGTAGAGCCGCGCATCGATCAGGCGACGCTGCGCTTCGTTCTTGGGATAGAGCGAATCGTCGGCTCCAGCATACTTGTCCGCCAGATAACTGCAGATCACATGGGAGTCGCTCACCACGACTCCATTGTCATCCAGCACGGGAATTGTGTGCTGTGGATTGAGTTTGAGAAACTCCTCTGTCATGTGCTCGCCGGCCTTTACGTTGACGATGCTGCAGAGGGAGAGAAGACGAGAGAGAGAGAGAGAGAGTTGGATAGAGTTGAATTCTATGTAAATGCAACTGGTTTGTAGAGCAGCAGTGGTCATGTAAAATGAATGAAAGTTGTAGCTCTAGCTGGTCTTAGAAATGTTTTTAAAATCTTTTTTTGATAATGATATAATTATTGAAAACCCTCGAATGGCTTTAACAAATAAAAAAAAAATAAAAATAAATAAATAAATGATATAATTGATATATTATACCTCAATTACAAGTATATTCCGCTAACAGTCAGTTAACAGTTTTATATAAACATAAATCAGACTTAACATTCAGCATTTTAGTTCATTTATGCAGCTGCTAATAACATAACAGTTGCTTAACATAACACTGTTAACTGCATTGCGCTGCACTCTAGCTTTGAGCTACATTTACTCGCAGCATTTACGTTTCGAACTATGCGACCGCAAAGAGCATACAAAAGTCAGCAAACTATTTTCGATATCGAAAACTTACCGCAAATCCAGTTCGAGTCCCAAAGCAGCGGCCGTGAGCAGAACTGAGCGACAGGGCGGGCTGCGTGGCGCATAGTAGAGAACTGGTTTATTCACTAATCTGTATATTAAAAAATGAGCATCAGATAGAAATAAAACATAGTTAATGTTGATTACTTCATTACATGCGGCAAAAACAAACAATGTTGACCTTACCCGGTGCTCATTTTGATAAATTGCCGGCCACAACAAATAAGCAGAACGCAAAACCTCTCAGCGTGAAGTGCGAAAAGCAACTAACGAAAAAACAGTGAAAGCATTGCGAGCAGCGATCACAATATTAGATAAAGAGAGCGAGCGAGAGGGAAAGAAAGCGCGGGTGCTTTAAGCTCTGACTAAATCGAATTGTATTTTGTGGGTCAGCGCAAAAGTATGCTTTGAATAATTGTTGCGTGCGCGCTAGACAAAGTAAAATTGACGCAAAGTTTTGGGACATCTTTTGGGACTTTGTTAAAAACTTTTGAAGCTTGAAGCGTAGAAATTAAAAAAAATTCTAAATAAAAAGTGCAAATTTGCTGCGCTGTAAGTCGACACAGCAAATGCTCTGCAATTTAACGAGTTTTTTTAATGTAAAATATATTGTATCTATGACTGTTAATGTAAAAGCGGTTGCTTCTAAACTGTAATGCTTGATTGCTTACTCTAGAATGTGCAGAGACTTTATATAATATTCAAGTCAAGCACTTATAGTCGCTGTTAAACTGTAATTACAGTGTTACATATTCTTATTGATTTCAAATTGGAGACAATCACTTTAAAACTCAAATCTTAGGCAGATTTATTTGTATGTATGGTCCACTTCTATGTATGTATGTATAACAGTAGCCACGATTGTGTCAGTCTGTCTTTTAACAGCGCTCTGCAAAGTAACATAACCTATACAAGCAGATCGATAACTTTAAAACTGTAATGTAAACTGTTATTATGATTACTCTAAAACTTTAAGCATAAAGCAGTTGCTTTACAACTTTTACACTTTATACATTGATTTCTACACCATTTGTGGGTTGGGTAAAACTACCCTTCATAGAGAATATGTATGTAGATTATTTATAATTTATTCAGTCTTCTTCACATTTTACTCAAAATACAATTGAAGTTGTTTGCTTCGGGCTGCTAAAATAAATGATTTGCTGTGCGCCAATTGAGTTAAAAATGTTCACATTTAACTGAGTTAGAGTTTGAGACTTGACGAATTAATTTGCTTATGTGTTAATTGAATTACAGGCAAGTTGATGAAGCTGTTGTTGTTGTTGTTGTTGTTGTTGTTGCTGCTGCTGCTGCTGCTGCTTTAAGCTGCTTCTGTCAGCAGCATATTGAAATGGGGAAAATGAATACAAAATGAATTTTCACGCGATTTTTCATAAACAGCGGCGCACACAAATACCGTTAAGCGGCTTTTTGCCCTTAAGGTAGCCCTTTTTCGATTTTTCCTTTTATTGGGGCAGGTGCAAAAATTACAAGCCTCAAATTTTTTTAAGCCGATTTCTGAATTAGTTAATGGCTGAGCTCGTGGCGCGTCTCGCATTCAATTTTTTTTTTTTACTTTAATTGGATTTTTGTGGGGCATGTTTATATATAGATATATATGTATATAGGAATGTATGTATGTGTGTGTGTGTATGTGTGTATGTATAGCATAAGTATATACTGCCTTGGCATGCAGCTCGATAACGCTTCAATTCGAATTCGTGCTTCAAGTGCTGCTCGAAGTGTCCTTAAAATATTTGGTCACGCGCCGTCGAGAGCAGAGCGAAATACCAAAGGCCCGAAAAGCCCGACGACAGGTTACACCTGGGTATGCAGGTGAGAGAGACAGAGACAGAGGCAGAGTGAGAGAGTGAGAGTGGAGGGGAGAAGGAGAATGACAGTGAGAGTGAGTATAAGTGAGAGTCAGTTGAGAGTTTTTTTTTTTGTTTTTTGTTTTGGGGGGCTTCTTGACTCGTGGCTCGGCCTGGGACTTGCCCAGGGACTGTGTCAAAAATTTTGTGAAAGCAATTTACAGTTATTAAAGCTTTTAGTGCGATCAAAAGCCTGGGCATTAAATTTAATTTCGTAATTGAGCAATTTCTAAGAGACAGCTCAGGTAGTTGGAGGACTGCGAATGGGAGCCGGGAGCTGGGGGGTGTGGCATGGCCCTGGCAGCTCTGTCTACCCCATTGATAAACATTTGACGAATGGCATTCATCTTCATAAGTTTTTCCAGCTTTTCTGCTGGTGTTTGGACGCGGCTTTAATTGAAATCGCAGACAGAGTGGAGAACGTGTGAGATTAATTTGAGGAGCTGCTTGAGTGTCCTGCCATTGGCATTGTGTCCTGCAGCAAATCCCGTTTTATTAATGGTTGCCCGAATGGCTGAAAGGCTGAAAGGCGAAAGGCGAAAGGCGAAAGGCGTGCGTGGGCAGCCCTCAATTGCTTTGAGTTTCCGCTGGCCAAAAATACATAAATATTACTTAATTTCTAGCTATCTCTCTCTCTCTCTCTCTCTCTCTCTCTCTCTCTCTCCCCATCTCTCTTTCTACCCCGCACTTTGCAATTAATAACAATTAAATGCCAGTTGGTTTTTGCTAGCTAATTGCTAGCATTGAAGCCTGCGGCTTTAAAGACTCTGCTTTCTTTTTGCTTTTCCCCAAGGCGCCGAGTGAAGTGTGTCCTCAAGCGTCCTGCAGATGTCCTTTGGCAGTTGCCTAGGCATTTACTGACTTATATACATACATATAAAGTATATTAAATTGCCAGCTAAATTAAAAGTGACATGCCTGTGCTTCACTATCTAGATATGAAAAGCAACACAAGGAGAGAAGAATAAAAGCTGGCTAGAGCTAGGACCTCTATGGGTCGAAGGTAGCCCCCCAAAAAACAAGATAGCTGACGGCCAATCAATGGCATGCAAATGAAAAGCGCCAGCAGCCCAACAACAACAACAACAAGAACAACATTCTTGAAACGCTCTATCATTCAAATACACTGAGCGAAATTCAAGTTGGCCAACGAATCCACTTCAATGAATATTCCCATTCATAATTTCAAGAATGATTTCATTTTATTTGATTTGAGCACAATGTAAAGCAGAAAAGCTAAATGGAAAGCAAGGCAGAGAATAAGTGAGAGCGAGAGAGGAAAAGAGAGAGAGGGAGAGCAAGTTCAAGCAGCATTTGTTCATTTGTAATTTGAGTTGCTCTTTGAGGATTTAGTCGCTGCTTGGCGTAAGTTTCTAAGCATTTAAAGGGTTTTTTTTTTTATATATATATAAATTTTTTTTTTATTTGCGCTCTCAAACTAGAGTGACAGCAGAAATGCGGGTCATTAGGGGTCATTAGCTGAGATGCAATTTATAAAGCCATATACAACATTTGTATGTGGCTAAGTCGCAGATTAAGCTGAGCGGATTATGTGGCAGAGAAATGGTTGGGGAAGCGAAACGTGCTTTAAAAGTAAATTACAAATTATACTGTAGATTTTATGCATGCTACAAAATGCGAGGGCTGACTCAAAAGTTGCTAAATTGTGCAAAGAAAATTTGATATACT